TGCTCCTAAGCTACGACTTCGTAGCTCCTAAGCTACGACCTCATAGCTCCTAAGCTACGACCTCATAGCTCCTAAGCTACGACCTCATAGCTCCTAAGCTACGACCTCATAGCTCCTAAGCTTACGACCTACGTAAAGCTTGCTATGCCTACGACCTCGTAAGCCTCTAAGGCTACGACCTCGGTAGCTCCTAAGCTACGAACCTCGTAGCTCCGAAGCTACGACCTCGTAGCCTCCTAAGGCCCTACACCTCGTAGCTCCTAAGGCTACGGACCTCGTTGCTCCTAAGCTTACGACTCATAGCTCTAAGCTAACGACCTCGTAAAGCTCCTAGCTACGACCTCATAGCTCCTAAAAGCTACGACCTCATAGCTGCTATGCTATGTCAATCACAGCCAGGGCGGGGCGGGGTTGCTACGGCAGCATCCCGCGCCGCGCGGTATCAGGGCGGCATCGTGAGCGTTTTTTCGAGCGTTCGCTTGTTTTCAGGCGAGCCCGAACCCGAGCCCGAGCCCGAGCCGGAACCCCTGCAGGTGCAGACGGAGCCTCAGCCCCAGCAGGAGCCGGCGGCCGAGGACGGCGCCCTATCCAGCGGACCCCAGTCCCCCGTGTCCGACGAAGCCGACGGTAGGTGGTGCCCCCTACGATGTTTCGTAGCCGGAAAGAGCGAGGATATCCGATGAAACGTCGCTTCGTTTTCCCGGATAGCTTTTCTGGGTCGGAGTGTGTGCGGTCTCATCGAGTCCGATTCAAGGCGTGCTGCGAGGGTGGGTGTGGAAGGATTTTTAAAGGAGAAGAATTAAATCGTTTTATTTTGTTTTCTTCTATCTCCGCCGCGATGGCGGATCGGCGACGGCCGTTTTCTCCGGTCGGTCGCCGGCGTCCGACGCTCGTTTTTTTACGTTCACCCTTTTCTTTTGCCATTTTTCGTTTTTAGCCGGTTTGCCGCGCGGGCACCGAAAACCCGTCGTACACACAGATACTGTCACCAACGACGGTTAGTAGTAGGAGAAGACACTACGCGTGTGTGTGCGTGTGTCGTGGCGGTGCAACTTCCCGTTGCATGTTAACCCCTCGCTGGCTGTGAGGCTGCATGCAAGGCCGGGACGGGGCTTTGCTGAGTGCTTAGGAGCTATGAGGTCGCGTCGAAACAGCCATGTAATCGGGGAAACAACCGGCCTCATCTCAAAATAACTGACAGTAACCGATAAATAACTTTAATTATTACGATGGCTATTGAACTTAATACAGCGTTTATGCCACTCTTTCCTTTCTTTAATTTGGTGTTCTCTATGCATATAGCAATTACATAGCAACATAATAAGTCCATATAGCAATACTAAGCAACATAGTAAGTTCATACAGCAACTATATATAGCAATATACTAATTTCATATAGCAACTATATAACTATTAACAATATAAGAAGTTCATACACCAATTACATATCCAGATGCCCCCCGACCCCACCCACCACCCACCGACCCGACCACTCACCTCTCTCGCGTCTCTCGATGTCGGCCTTGTACTTTGCGATGTCATCGTCGGTGATATTGTCAAACGGGTTCGCGGCGTAGTACTGCCGGTAGACCTGCACGTTGTGCTGCTGGTCGCGCTCGATGATGCCCTTCGACGCCGCGCCGAACGCAATTACCTTATCGTCAGCGCCGCTCAGCGTGCCGTCCTGCAAAACAAGAGAACGTTCAGCGTGCCGTCCCGAGAGAACGCTCAACGAGTTGCGCAAACCCCTCGCGAACACAGACGGTCGGGGCATACGCAGAGACCATTGGGCTTCGCTGCACTGATGCATCAGTGAAGGAGGAGGTTCCTTACCTGCATCCTCTGCACCTCTTCCCATGTTGTTCCTTCCAGAATCTTAGACTGTGGTCCGGAGGTGATTGTTCCCTTCAGCCTCTCACTCTTCAACTGTAAGCAACAACAACAACAACGACGACAATGAACATCATGTATAACCAACAAACACGGTGACCGTAAGAACATCGACACACTGATAATTGTGAGTAATAATGGAAATTATCGTCCACGAAAGAACAAGAAGATGATGACAACGTTACATTCTCAAAGTACAAAACTCAATTATGAATTATGTAATAGACTTAAATAATCTCTCTATCTATTTATCTATCTAACAACAACAACACCAAAGCATTAATACGGAGCAAGAACCAAAAACGAGAATAAGAAGAAGAAAGATGATGACGTCAGACACTGCAAAACAAAAGTAAAAACAAAAGAACAACAACACGGGTCGCTACCATCACGAAGAAAATCGCCGCATAAATTCGCACGGAACCAATAAAGCATCGACGCGTTGCGGACCGCTAATCTACGGAACAGCCACCTGGTTCCCAGATCACATGCCGTGACGGATGCTCCTGCGCGGGTAACACGGTAAGTTGGTAACACAGCCGGCGCTAACACAACTAGATACAAGAACTAACTAGCTACACGAGACCACGCAGCAAGCTGTTGTAACATGCCGGCCCACTCAGCAGGACACCCAGCTACAAACACTGCGGTAGTACACTACACGCTCTTACGGTCTTATCTCCAACAATGAGACAGACAGGAGGCAAAAGCTCATGCCAGCCCACTCAGCACGATACTACACACTCAGCTACAAACACCCTAATATGCAGGTGACCACCGTAGCTAACACATCGTAATACGCTACACAGTCTTACACGCTATTCTGAACATTGCGAAAAACAAACGTCAAGAGCTAACGGTGGGTATGATATAACATTGATAATATATAATATTATCATTATTATATATATATATATATATATATATAATATTCATACACAACTTCTGATATAACATTGCAGCATTATTGAGCAGTTATTGAAATTAAGCAATGCTTACAGCAACGATTCAACACGACATTACTCTGAGGCCAACGTGGCAAAGAGAACAGCAACACAAAGCGGCTATATATGCAAATATATGCAAATGGTGCGACATCAAGCATCAGTGATATGTTGACACTGGCAATGTTCACCAGGCCACATGATGTTTATGCATATAGGATGATTACAACACATCACGCACAACATTACCATAAACAATCATGTGGCCATTTCCATATGTCTATGACTCAGCCGAGCATACTATTTACTATGTTACTATACTAGCCAGAGATCTGATGGTTGCTTAACCAACCCACATCGAGCACATGTACGAAGGGAATACCAAAAGTATGTTGGAAATTAGGCCCATAGAAATTAAATAATAGAAATTAAATTATATTTAATAAATTAATAGAGGTTAATAGAAATTTATGCACAATACGTGCAAGGATATAATTATTTCACTTTTCGTGAGATCTCCAAGAAATACAAATATAACTGTTGCACAGATGACACACAAGTTATGTAGCTTGCTATAACACTCACGACTACAAAGCTTTCTTTCAGATTTCATTCAGGCATAATACAGATACAGGTTTTCACGAACTATTATTACAAATTTGGTATTCCCTCTCCCACCTGCAAGCAGGAAAGCAGACACTGGGAAAGCACGGTAACACCACGGTCCACATCCACACTTATCGGGGAAGAGCGCTCGCTACACGACGTCACACGCGCAGCGCCATCTATCCGGACGTACCTCCGGCGACACGCAGACTTACGCGTGGTGGCCCCCTACCTGTCGCTGAAGCTGCTTGAACTCTTTGCGGTTGTCTACGGTCTCAGGCACGAAAGCGTGTGGACCGTAGCTCATTATCGAGCCTCGGGTCTGAGCCGAGCTACTGTCCTGGCAAATCCACTGCCGAAACAAGCAAGGCATGCAAGAGTGAGAAAGAGAGAAGAGACAGAGAGAAGGAAGGAAACGGCGAGCAGGAAAGGCAATGCTCGCCGCGCAGCCGCCCTGGGAAACCGCGTCCCGATTTCCGTCCCCCCTCGTCTCCCTCGAGTGCAAGCAGCGTGAAGCCATCAAGGCTTCAATAACCAATCAAGCGATCGTCATCGACGGCGGAACGGAAATCGGGGCGGCGGGTCTCCCACAGCGATGCGGCGGCGGCGGCAACGATTCCCCGCCCGCCGGCCGACCGGGCGCGGCCCTCTCATTTACCGTCGACTGGAGTTTTTTGAACTCTCTGGGGTCTGTGTCGCGCGGCACGAACTGGTTGATGTCCATCTTGAACGGGGTTCCGCGCGCGGTAGAGTCGCTGTCACCCTCTCCCACCTCCTTCCACTGAAACCATCGCACACACACACGCATTACGAGACGACTACTCTACTACGATGAACAAACGAACGAACGAACGAACAAACGAACGAACACTACGAAGGCTCCAAGTGCATGTTATGTAGATGAACATTTGTTTGTTGTTTAAAGTGATTACGTCACCGTAAATAGTAAAAATTAAAATATAAGTAATTCTGTTCACTTTTTACGGTTAAATTGCTGCATTATACTTCTTATTTTACTATATTGTTCGATGTGAACATACACTCGTGACTCATACATAGCCCATAGCAAGCAATTAAATTCGATGTGAACATACACTCGTGACTCATACATAGCCCATAGCAAGCAATTAATGTCAGGAACATAATATCAAATCGTCCAGGTTTTTTGGATTTTTAACTAGTTGAGAAACAATCTTATCAGGTAAGAATTTGACGATAAGTTTAGTCCCATTAGTCCTTACTTTTAATGTAAAAAAATGGCAACAAAAATTTTACAAATTTTACAATACAAAATTCGTGACGTAGTCAATTTAACGTGTCTACACGTTACAGTGTTTCCCCTGGCCTAAAAAGTCTGTGAGGTGGTAAAAAAAATTTTGCGTGTGATTGCGCGTTTCGAGGTCCTAGCAAAGCGAGCACCGCAGGTGAAGATTTTTGAATTTGTGAAAAAATGGTGCAATATGGTGCATTCTAAGGTATTTTGGTGCATTATAAGCCCTGTTCTATGGAAGAACAGTGATTTTCGTCAGCGAGGCAGTGTTTTGGACAAATTTCTGTGTGGCGGCTGAGAATTTGAGCGAGGCGCTCGTGTCAATGCAGGGGAAACACTGCGTTATATAGATTTGTTGCAAGTGTGTACGCTTGTATGCTCGTCTGTGTGTGCGTGTATGCGTGCGTGCACCTCTATTTTTTATATTTTTCCATTTTTTTATCTCTCTCTCTCTCTCTCTCTCCCTCTGACTATCTGTGAGCGTGCATGCATGTCTTGTCTGTATCTGGGTGTGTGGAACGTGTATGTGTGCGCGTGCGTGTGTGTGTGCATTCGTGTGCGTGTGTGCGTGCGTGTGTGTGTGCGTGTGTGCGTACTAATTCGTTCAAAGATCAATTAATGATAACGTTGTTGAACAAAGCCGGACAATGCTGAATCAATCCATGTACTAACCTGTGTGGACAAATAGACATTATCATGTATAAATACATGTAACACGAAACAAAACAGAGCAAATAGATGCCACGGTTAATCAAACCACACATTTAACTGTACTAAAATTGCAATTTAACTTAAATTCAATAATTCGATTAAATCAAATTTTAAATTGTATCAATTGTTCAAGTGCACCACAGATTACTACTAGAATTCACCATCAACGCCATCTCAACACCTAAAACAGTTGTTCTAATTCTCCACTACAACGTAATACCATCACTCACGCATTCCCCTAACCCGGCCCCACACGATTTGCAGCCAACCAACCATGACATCATCCTACTAATCACCCTTCACAACTCCGATCATGACTCCTCTCCTCTCTCCATCCATCCCCCCGAATCAAAACCTGGTCAACTTTCATCGAAACTCCCCAGTCGACCCCCGTTTTGCAACCCGACCAACCCTGATCCAAACCCCTCCCTTGACCTCTGTTTATAAACCTGACCAACCCTGATCCAAACCCCTCCCTCGATCCCTGTTTATACACCCGACCAACCCTGATCGAAACCCCTCCCTCGACCCCTGTTTATAAACCCGACCAACCCTGATCGAAACCCCTCCCTCAACCCGCGTTTCAAAACCCGACCAACCCTGATCGTAACTCCCCTCTCGACCCCCATTAAGAAACCCGACCAAACTCCTCTTCCCGAGTCCTTTTCGCGACCCCCCCCCCCCCCCCCCCCCCGTCACAACGACAATGCGCTGTCCGCCTGCTACGCAGCGACGCTTGTACCTTGGTGATCTTCTTTGGATTCGGAGTGCCGGTCTCTTCGAACTCGACCTTCTCGTAGCTGGAGGGCGTGTTCATCCACTTGTTTCGCTCTCCCTGCTTCCTGAGCTCCATCGCTTGCTTCAGCGAAGAGCTGCGCGCGGGACAGACAGACAGACGGACGGACGTTACCATTAGGCGATTCGACAAACCCCACGTGAATTCACTACAGTACACAATCTATTATCCGAAACCCTTGGGACCAGACACATTTCGGAATTTTGGAATTTTTCGGAATGGTAGTACAGTACAGATATACATAGCGTATATCCTGCAACTAGCCAATATTAAAACCCAAGTTTTCAAGAGGCCAAGTGCTGTACCGGTACAGTACAATATTTATGAGTAATGCCAAAAACATGAATATCTCTGCAGTGACCCTTGTGCAGACAAACGCGAGCTTTGGTGTGTAGACGACCTCCAAGAAAAAACTTGCAGTTTTCTGAGCCTTGCGGTTTTCAGAACAGCGCATCACTCAATCGAACAGCATTCTCCCTCATGGCTACGCCGCAAGGCAGGCAGCAGTTAACATTATACTTCATCCTCATCTGTGTCGCTATGGAAATCATCATCGATGGTGACCCTACAGAAAGCAGTATCGATGGCGTTGCTACGGAAACCACCGTCGATGCTGTCGCTATGGAAACCGTCGCCGCAGCTCTACTCACTCCAGCGATCCGTCCTCGTCGTCGAAGATGTATCGGAACGAGCTGGCACTGGGTGGAACCTCCACATCCTCAAAGCCCTTCCTTATTCTCTCTACTCTCACTACGGGCTGCCTGTACACGTAGCCTGTCCTGTATCCCTAAAACAACAACAACAACAACAATGATGATGATGACCTACTATCATCAACACACACCACCAATCATTAGTCATAACCACCAATCCTTCCTTATTCTCCTTACTCTCACCACCAGTCCTGTATCCCTGTGGATAATGTGTGATTTATAGATGATTAGATATTACGGAGAAAATGGAAGTCAGCACTGGCTTTAGATGATATATTTCCAGTCCGCTACCTCCGACAAATGTAGCAAAAGAATGCCACAGAGACCGGCCCTAGAAGGAACCATATCCACTCTACTACCACTCGCATCGCAAGCCCTGCAGGATAATGCATCACGGCCATAACTTCACGCAAAGCCAGCTATACGATCGCAGAGGTAAAACACTCACCAACGCAGAGGCCTCACAGACCGGCCCTATATGAAACCATATCCATTCTACTACCACTCGCATCGCAAACCCCGTGGGACAAGGAACAACGGACCCAGCTCCACACAAAGCCTGCTACACCAGAGATGCCAACACATATTTGAAGCAATCTGTAGTTTCTGGCCATCAAATTAGTAGTTCAAGGGTCACGTAGTGACCTGAGTTTGCTAGGGGGGTCCGGCATGCCCCCCGGAAAATTTCTTGATTCTGAGATGCAATTTCCTGCATTCTGAGGGTCAAAAATGACAATAAATTGGAAAAAAAATGACAATAATTAAAAAAAAAAAAATTTTTCCGATCACAGTGAAATTTGTAGCTTGATACAAACTGGTCGTAGTGGTGCAAAAGGAATAGAAATTCGTATAAAATACGGATAAATCGTAGTGGTTGGCATCTCTGCTACACGATCGCGGAAGTAAAACAGCGATTAACGGAGGCACTTACGGTGGCGTCCATCCACCGCATGTGCGCCTCAAACTCGAGCTGGCCCGGCCGCCACTTGATCGAGTCCTGGTTGCTGTTGACGCCGCCGCCGCCCTGCCGCCCGACCTCGTTCACCTTCTGCACGACGTCGGCCGACGGCTGGATGATGTTGTCTAGACCGGCGGTGACGGCTCGCGCCTGCAGCGGACAATGCGTGCATCAACGCGACATGTTCGCCACGAACACAGACGACTGTCCACTCCGCCCGAGCAAGCAAGGTTGCTATGCCGGTCACTGTTGCTAGGTGAGGTTATTATTATTATAATATTATTATTATTACTATTATTTATTATTATTACTGTTATTATTATTATTATTACAAAATATTTATTGCATGTAGGGCCATCCTTAAAAAATTCTATGTTTTGCTGTCCCCCGATCCATGATTTTTTTAGTGGGTAGGTTTTTTTTGTGAGGCATAATAGCGTGTATTTTAGTCTGTCCTCCTGTTCGCACAATGCTTTGTGTTTCGTCTTAACTATGAAGGAATGTTAAAAAAAATAAAAGAAAAAAAAGGAACCCAAAATGTTCAAAAAGAAACTTGGGTCGCCGGCTTTTTCGTGGCGTCGGGTCGGGATTCCAGAAACATAATTTTTTATTCGAGCCTCGTACAAATACATGTACTGAAGGTTCTAACCACACCGGGCATTGTTGCTAGATCATGGTCTAACCACGCCGGCCTACCTGTCAGGTGAGGCATTGTTGCTCGTTAACGAGACTTCAACGTACCTGTGTCTCGCACGCGATCATGCAGTTCCATGCGTAGTACCAAGCCTCCTCGATGGTCTCTCCCAACGTGACAAAGCCATGGTTCCTCAGGAACATCACCTGCGCAAAATCCAGAATATCATCACCCGCCGACACCTCGCACGAACCACTCACGCGGCGGCCGGCAACTCTCGCGCCAATTTCATTTCGCGATCGATTACGGATAAAGCGCTACATTACGGAATTGCTCTTTCCAAATATTCGCGACAGAATAACTGTCGATGCAAGGCGATAAACAGCAAGAAGGTCAGGCTACGAGCAACGTGTAGTCGAGTACACCTTTCTAAAGATACACAGTGCTCACAGGTACACATACAGATGTACAGGAGCAGGAGTTGGTACGCAGTGCTTTGTGTAAAGAAAATGCACACTAGCACTCAAACGGTGGTTCACCAACATGGTCCCCGCATTACGTCGTATAAGCATACGCATTAAGCTATGAACAAAATGTAGTCGAGTACACATTTCTGAAGATGATGTGCATGAAGTCACACGCTCTACATAGCAAATACACCGACGAGCCGACACTTGAAGTTGCACTCAAACACAGTCACCGCGTTACGTCAATAGCTCCACTACAAAAAGTCCAGCGCACGACGCGGTGTAATATTATATAGTGCTACCCATTATATAGTGCATTCCTGTATTGTTAGTACCGGCACCGGTAGCATCATATCATAGGTAGCATGGGTTTCACAGGCGTGTGCATTATATTCTGCACCCGGGACGCACAATATAATGGGGATGCAATCGCTCACGCTACACCGGCTTCAAGACATACCTTGCTGGTTTGTCCCAGGTCGTTTCTGATCTGTTCTTTCTCGTCGGGGTTGATGAGGATGCCCTGGTAGTCGTGGTAGGTGATCTCCCCACAGATCATAGCCTCCTGACAGATCGGCAGCAGTCCACACCTCATCGCTGACACCTGGTGGCCAACGAGCGAAACGACGATTAATATGATGATGACTATGATGAATAACGATCGATTGCCGATTTGACAGGCTGGGCAATATTTCACGTGACTCTGTACGAAGCTTCAACTCGATAACGATTTTTTTATCACTAAAATGAGATATTATGTGATTGAATTATAATTACTCCCACTAAAATTCGATGTTATTCTATTAAATTATAATTAAATTATTATATAAACATAAACATAAACAGTTTACATGCTCTTACTACCATTCAGGGCCTACACACCCTACTATAGTTATCCCAAAACATGCATTCATCGTAGTAGACAATAGAATTCCTTAAACAAGATCCATTATTTGAATTGGAGTACTCCCCCAACCAGACGATCTCCCCCATTTAGACAGAATGGAATATTCCCTGAGTACTATCCCTGAAGGTGGACAGTTATGAATATTCCCCCGAACATTGGGATAATTGTAGGTACTCTCCCAACCAGACGAGTTGATTAGACAGGAAGGAATATTCCCTGAATACTATCACTGAAGGTGGACAGTTAGGAATATTAGCCTGATCACAGCCCCGTAACCTGACAACAACAAGGTCATCACTACTGTAACAACCAGTAACAGTCACTAAAGGCTAGAGTGACAATTCGAGTTAAATCCCCCATAAAGGTAGAACAGACGGACAGACTAGCTGTGTAGGAAGTCTCTAGAGTTAAACTTAATACCTGAGTAGTAGCAAGAGTATATAAACTGTTCATGTTTATTTATTTAGCAGAGTAATTATAATCTAATTATAATATAACACCTAATATATATATATAAATAAATAATATATATCAGGGGTTAATAATTACAAATTATTAACCCGTGATATATATATATATAATCTATATATAATAATATATAATATAATCTATATATAATAGAACCATATCCGCTCAAAGGCGGAACATCTAGGCTAGCTGGGGTAACTAAGGAAGATCTCCTCTCCCAGCATCTCGTGTCACTACGCACGCGCGAGAGCGGTCGTGTCAAGGTATGACACAATCGATCGTGTTGCGCAGCCGCGATGAGATGGCCGAGATGCTAGCGTGATCCGGATTCGTGACTCCCAGGATCAGTGCTGCCGATATGCCACCCACGCTCGCCTGCACACCACCACAACACCACAACAACACACGTGAGATATCGAGCACGCCCAGCCCGATGTATTAATTATTCACGTGGAGCTGCAGGTAAGCCCCGCCAGCACCCGCCTGCCACATGCAGCAGCAGCAAGCAGCATCAAGCAACACCAGTAAGCAGTAAGTACAAGCAGTAGTTAGCAAGCAGCAAGCAGCAGCAGAGCAGCAACAGTATCATCAGTAGTAGTACAGCAAGTAGTAGCAGCAGCACAGCAGTATAAGCAAGCAGCAGCTAGCAGTAGTAGTCAGGCAAGCACACACCAGCAGCACATAGTAGCAAGCAAACAAACAGCAAGCAGCACAGCAGTAGCAGCAGCAGGCAGCAGCAACCAACAACAGCAACAGCAATAGCAAAGAGTAGCGGCGCCGGTGGTGCTGTATATACATCACACTGTCTGCGCGCGCGCGTGTTCGTGTGTGCGTGCGTGCGTACGCGTTCGTGTGCGTGTCTGTGTGACGTCAGCTATCCCACAGGCGGAACTATAATGGGACTCCCGCGCGTGCCGATCGTTACAATGGCGGGGGGTGGCGGGGGAAAAGAAGGTGGGGGGGGTGGGGGGGGAGGAGGGGGGCGAATTACAGGCACTGGTGCAAAATTGGATCACCACCTTCTAACTCGATAATCATTTCTACAGTTGCGTCAGGAAACAAATGACGTTAGATCAATGTACCAAGAAAGTAGATAATAGGGAATACGTTATAAATATTATAGAAAAACACGTTAAGCTGAAACTCGACGCTGGTCGCGCAACGCCTATTGACAAATACATTACACAAAATATCATCTCACAAAGTTAGTGAAACGCAGCAATTTTGTGTTATCCGTTCGCTTCGGATCCCTTATTCCATTCTCGCGCTCTCTCTCTATCTAATCTAAGTCTATCTATCTCTATCGTATCTATACTAAGCATATCTA